GCCACACTGAGGCCTGGAGCCACACTGAGGCCTGGAGCCACACTGAGGTGAGGCCTGGAGCCACACTGAGGCCTGGAGCCACACTGAGGCCTGGAGCCACACTGAGGCCTGGAGCCACACTGAGGTGAGGCCTGGAGCCACACTGAGGCCTGGAGCCAAACTGGGGCCTGGAGCCACACTGGGGCCTGGAGCCACACTAAGTTGCTAATATTCAAATTTTATTGTTTTTCCTTTTAGTTTTTTTGTTGAATTACAAATATTTACGTTCTTTTATTTATTGGAATGGACCCTTGTCCACTATGTATTCGATACTGACAGGAAAAACAAATGTGAGCTCGCTGTTTTCGCAATTCTTGTTTTAAATTTAAAGGTAATACATTTATTTACTCAAAGAACTCTCAAACGTTCTTAATTGTTTTTCTTGACAAAATAAAACAGAATTCTGGTAGGGCCTACTTAAAATTTGCCCTTTTCGATATTTGATTTGCTTGACAAATTTTTTTTTTTAAATCTGGCACTCAACATGTTTACCTAATTAATATTTTATTTGATTCACAAAATAAAAATCTGGCATTCAGCATTTACCCATCTGGACGTTCACAAAAATATAAATCTGGCTCTGTTGATTTGCCCCCCCCCCCTAGCAAACATGTCGTAACCAGACCAAGCGTGACTAGTCGATGGAACCAGAAGGTGGGGGGGGGGATGAAGTGTGTTACGACGACTTACAGTTGCGTCCTACTTAATCAGAACGCTACTGTATCGGGGAGTGTCGTCGCTTTCGAATAAGTTTATTAAACACAGTATCTTATTACGTATTTAACAATTAAAATAAAACCGAACCGTTCGCGTTTGCATGATGCATTAAATATTATTAATCTCATTATGTATTGTATCTATTTAGATTTACAGGTTAAATAAAACATAAAAATTCGTTTAAAATGGTCTCTGGCTAAGCAATAAACAAAATAAAAACACAAAACATAAGCCGCTTCTTCCGGTCGATCCCTAAAGACCAGTCAAAATAGGCTAAATGTTGTTCGACATGGTCCAGTGAGATAGCTAGGGGTTTATTTCAGTTCTGTGCCTATTTATAGCTAGGTGTATATTTCAGTTCTGTGCCTATTTATAGCTAGGTGTATATTTCAGTTCTGTGCCTATTTATAGCTAGGTGTATATTTTAGTTCTGTGCCTATTTCAACACCTCCCAGGTGTTGGTACTTACCACGTGACTCAGCCACGAACGTCAACCGTCAGACGACAGATCGCATAAGACCAGCGAAAGAAAAACATGTTTTTAAAATTTAATACGAGGCTAAGATATCTGTACGCAATTTGGGCTTTCCTGGAATGTTTGGGATTTAGTGGGCTTTTACAGGGGTGGGGTTCATTGGTGTATGTTTTAAAAGATGAGGGCATCTATTCGGATTTATGTGGAGACCACTTCCAAAATAACTCTACAGTTTCAAATGATACAAAGTAAGTGAAATTTAAAAAAAAAAAATTATTTCTATTATTTCTATTTCTTTGCAAGAGTAACTTGTTCATTTAAAAAAAAATAATCTTTTTAAAGTTTTGTTGAACGCTAGATTAATTAAATCAATTTTTAAAATGCAATCCATGTGTATGTTTGCTAAACTTTGATCATACACAACAATGTTATCTTCAGAAATGATACAGACGGCGCTAACAAAAGTAGCGGCTGTCTTGAACAGGACTCGAAGCTGGCTTCCATCTTCACGGTCGCCTCCTCCCTGTACGGCTTGTGCAGCGTATTGCTGGGGCAGGTTTCCTTCAAGTTTGGGGCACGGGTTACCCGCCTTATTGCCGTGTAGGGATTTTAAATTATTTGTGTGCATGAACTTGGCTGCTTTTACAAGCTTTTTCTTAGGTCAAAAATATCATGATGCCGTTGGTTTTATGGCCAAATCTTCGCAGTTTAAACCTTTTCAAACTGAGCGGTTTCGGTTCAATTTTCCATCTAAGTTCATTTCCGACGACAATGCAAGAACATCAAATTTTTATTCTATATATTTTGAGCGTGTCCAAGGATTGTGGTGGTGTTTCTGGTGGTGTGAAGGTGTGTTATGTAATGAATAATTGTGAAGGCTGGTGTCCTGTAGCACATAGAAGAAAAATTCATTCACGTATCATTATAGTTATAAATCAAGCGTTAAACCCCTACATGTAAACACAAAAACATCTAGCAAATTGTCTGAGGCTTTAAAAACAGTTTTGTTAAAACAGATTTTTAAAGTAAAAAACTTTTACTACGTACACTAAGTATGGGTTTTGCTCCGAAAATCTTGGAATATTAATTTATCCCACATCCCATTGCTCGATAAGGCTAAAATTTGGCATAGTGGTAGATCTAAGATGGCAATTCAAGAATATTTAATTATAAAACTAATTAAAGGCTTCATGGTATTGACAATTTAGTTTAAAAATGCTATATAACACAACTTCAAACATTTAAAATAATAGGGGAGATAACAAGAAACATTTGTTCTACAGTCAACATTTTTCACTGACAGCAGTGTTTGTAAGTAGGCCACCAACTGCTCAATCTCGTACTTGCAGACTATTATTTTTCAAGCCAAATGTAAATATATTTTTTTTAAATTGGTAACAAAAAAGTTACTTTTTGCTTTTGTCCTTTTTTTATCAATGGGAATCATGTTCGATACAATTACTTTAGTTCGAAAATTTATATTGTTATCTCTCCGTGGCTAACGAGATCTCAAATTTTTAGCGAGAATAATCGAGACTTACAAGCTCTATTGAAAATGATCTCAGGACAAATGATCTCAGACAAAATATCCCAGACAAAATATCTCACGGACAAATTATCTCAGGACAAATGATATCATGGACAAATGATCTCAGACAAAATATCTCAAACAAAATATCTCACAGCAAAGTGATATTTATATATATATATATATATATATATATATATATATATATATATATATATATATATATATATCATATATATATATATACTTTTTTGCATTTTTAATTTATTTTTTATATATTTTTTAAATATTTTAAATTTGTGCTTTTTTTATTATTATGGAATATAATAAAAGCCCTTTTGATAAAAATTGTTCTGTGAGGATTACTTTCATCTCTTTACATCGACTCTACATATGTACCAAATGCTCTAATAGCTTTAATGTTTCAGTTTTTTGCAAGTCCACTTTCAACGCGAAAATATGCGAGAACTTGTAGTTACTTGAGTGTACGTGAAATGTTATACCGCACCTAATTCCTGCCTAGTGACATTCATGCGAGGATGATTGGTTGGAGGTTACGTTTTGATGTCAATGCCTTTCAAATGATTGAATAGACCAGGTTTCGCACATCCATAAACTAATGCAAGGCGCTTGAGTTGAAAAGGATATTGACACAATATTTATTTTTTTATGATAAAAGCTCAAGTAGATTTGGCGAAGTGTACACGGAAGACTTCACCAATACTTCTACCTCCATGACCGACGTTCGGATATTTCTACTTAAAAAAAAAAACCCAGATCCACTAGACCGTATCGTTAGTACACGTTGGCTGAAGAGATTAAAACGTCTTTTAAAAAAATATTCTATAGTCATAATGTTCATAAGTGGGTGGTGTGTAAGTTATTTTGTCAGGGGGATGTGTGTTTGTGTGTGGGTTGGTTGATGTATGGGCTTATGGGTAGGGTGTGTGTGTGATTGTGTGAAATAGTGTGTTTGGTGAATGTGTGAGTATGTGACCAAATCTTGTACCCCAGTTTAATTCATAGTTTAATGATTTTATTATTTGTAAAACAAGTTTTATACGTGTTTTATTATTTTTAGTTTGAGAGTATTTTAACCCTCAAGAGATAAATTATTTATTTTCAGATCATTTTATGTTTGTGGGGCGCTAATGTTGGCATTCACGACCAAAGGTTCGTTTCAAATTTGTTGTGTAAGGCGAAAACTTAAATAATATATTATTTAAGTTGCTGGTAGTTTTGGCACACTTAGACTGTAGGTTGGTGTAGCCTGGCAATCTTGCTCACACATTTTTAGTGTGTATAAGACGTATAAGGAGCCACTAAGGCAACCCATACCAGTGTGCACTTTACTATAGTAAGGGAAAACACTGGCGGCTGGGAGTTTCATTACTCGTAACAAGGACCAAGAACACATATTAGTTCTACTTTAACAGCTCTATTTATCGTAAAATACTACGTTATTTTATGTCCATTATTTGGTTAAAATAAAGCTAACCTTTATTGTTAGATCGGCAACGAAAGATTAAATAGTTAAGGAAAATATTGTGACAGTTGAACATTTTAAAAATTTCTCCGACCCCCTTTCAAAGAGTTACCTTGGTTAGCATACCCTGGGCTGATGTTGATCGGCTTTGGTGGTGTAACCATGATCATCACCTGCATGCAAGTGGCCAACCTGTTCCCGCTGGGAGGATCTGTGGTCATTGGCTTTCTCAATGGAGGATTTGACACGTCGTCAGGCGTTCAGCTGATGGTCAAGGTGGGTTCTAGGCCAGGGTAACGGAGCAGGGTTTGTTGATCTAATTGCTGAATGTGGACTTTAGATCTGAAAGGTGAATGTGGGTTCCAGGTTAGAATGTAAAGTTAACTATTTATAACACCTACATTTTACCACTGCGGAATTGAAAAGTTGTTTTAAACAAACATTCAAAATGTATTAAAGTCCGTAGATTTCCAAAGAAAATATAATCTTAAAAAAAAAACAAATATAAAAAAACCATTCTAATTATAAGCATTTTAAGGTAAAATTGTCGGTCAGACTCTACGCCCTCGCCGAGTCACCTCGAGCGACCGTCTCCTTATAAAAGCCTACCTATATATTGAACAAAAAAATTATCGTCAACACCCACAGATATTTTGTGAGGGCTCGTAGACCAATGCTCAGGTTCCGCAAACAAACAAAAAAACAAACGAGTCGCCTCTGGGGAAATTTGTTAAAGGGGTGAAAGCTGACCTGGGAGTACCTTCAAATATAATCGTTGTACATTCATGTAAAAATTAATGGAATTTTAAAAATGTTTAAGAAAATTAAACTCTGCATATATGGCTAATTTTTAGCATGAACTTATAGCAATATATAAAAAAAAATTCCCCAATTCAAGACCCGCTGATAATTTATGAAGGTCGTAGAATGACGCTCGGCTGTAACAAAACAACAACAACACCAAACAACCATTGTTACCTTCAAGAAAATCGCGGAAGGTTGTTATTTCCAAACATATATACATATGTTACAGTCAAAGCCCGAAATGTTTATGTTTGTTTATGTTTGTTATGTTTGTTTATGTTTATGTTTAGGGTTTTATATATAATTACTAAAACGTCAGTATTCGCATATCTACATTATTTAATTTACTATTTTCGATATATTTCTAATATAAGGACAGTTTCACTTGTAGTCATTGTTTAGCTCTAGGCGAGTGGGTAGAGACTGACCGATAGTTTTCCCGTAATGCCAAATAAATTACATAGGGCCTTGCAAAAATTTAGCCAGATGTACTAAGCACCCTTAAAATCGTTTTGAAAATTTGTTTTTCATAAAAATTACGTTTTTATAAGGAATACGGACTTCTCATTCTAGCGGCCTTCCGGAGTTTTCCCGATTGGAACACCGATGTTTTTTTTGTTACCGCCTGCGGTCGATCTACAACCTCTGGAATTTTCAGGGTTTTTTGACGTGGGGAATGTTTTCGATAGATAGCTCATAAGGCGCACGTCAGTCGCGGCTAGTTTTAACCCACTCGTCGTGAAATTTGTAGCCATCGGCATTTGTCTCCGTATGCTATTTGCCTCAGGTGAGTTCATACCAAATTTGAAGCGCCTGCGGCACCAACAAGTATTCTAATCAGCATCTGACCAATTTGCTTTGTATTTGTATCTGGATAGTTTGACCGAAATCAGTGTATTAGAAGCTTGTCACAATTCAGCTACAAAATTTACCACAAACCCACAAAAATCAATCAAACCTACTCACAAACAAACAAAGAGACTTTGTGAACTAAATAAAATCTCATAAAAATAAAGTTAAATAATACATTTACGTTTCTGATAGATTTCTTTGAGATGATAAAATCTGATTATAACATTTGTTTTGAAAGTTTTCACAAGTTTATTTAAAGTCAGGCTGTTATCTGTTATTTTTTACTTTCATAGTTTGGATACGAGAATGGAATCAGCAGGCGGACGTCTTACGTCATCATCGCCTGCTGTCAGGTGTTCACACTCATCTCCAGTTTGTTCTTTTATCCGAAGGATTTTATCCGCAAAAATACCCAGGACCCCGTGATTGGTGAGTGATCTTTATACTACTAGGGACTAGTTGTATAAGGATAACTTTTATAATCAGTAGCAAGGTTTGTTATATGTGTGACGTGTCTGTTATGTCTTGTGTATGTTAAATTCCTGAGTAAAAGTCTATTGTGGACGTTACTTATCTCTGAAAATATCTGACGACTAAAATTACGCTCCTTGTATGCCCGTGTTTTCCTTTGAACTGATAGCATAACTTTGTGCTGAAGTAAAAAAAAATTACACTCGTTCAGTAAAAATTAACCGGGAGTGATCTCCCCTAAACTTTCTCGGATATTCTAATATAAAACTACGAGGGATGGCAACTCAGGACATAGACAATATTTGTAATCCATTTTTAATTACTTAAACTTTTTATAATAGAACTAGGCATGCTGCCCAGCTCCGCTTATGCTTTTGAAAACATTGAGAATTTGAATGCTTCATTAATTTGCCCGAGGGTCGGTCTTCGACCTCACGAGTTATGAAGAGGTTCCTACGTGGACATTTTTTTTTCGATTTATAGCTCATATAAGGCCCCGGTCAGTCGAGGTCAGTTTTGACCCCCTCATCGTAGACTTTTCGGCCAACCGGCCCCCGTGTTCTGTCGCCCCAAGGCAAGATCCTGCCAAATTTAAAGCGCCTGCGGCGCCGGGAAGTGACCTATCAGCAAATTGCATAGATAAACAAAGATTTCAATAAAGTAATTAAGGCCTGAAATACTTTAGTATAGAAATGTATTATTTGAATAGATTCTAGATCTAGGTAGGGTCTACACCTGTGTAAGTCTAGTTTTTCCGTAGATCTAGATCATCTAGATCTAGAATATCTAGATCTAGATGATCTAGAATATCTAGATCTAGATTGGATCTAGAATCCTAATAGAATTTTTTTTAAAGTTTAGACCGAGCAAAATTGTATTGTATAAATTTTATAGCGTACGTAGATCTAGATCTAAATAATATTTGAATGAAATAGTTCATTTCTTTTTATTCTAAACACGACAGACGACGTCATTAGTTAATGTATAAACATTAGTGACGTCACTAACTTATGCATTCTTTTTCACAACTATAAACGCTTTTCCTGTTGCATAATTAAAACTGTTTTTCGACATTCGAATACGCCTTTATTTTTTATTTTTCTTCTTTAAATAAAATTGTGGTTATACATTTAAAACATCTACCATATTATTTTCAACAAAAGTCCGTAGCAAGTTCTCCATATATCGCTGAAGATTCTGACGTGATATCCAGCGAAAATATTTTGCGGACAGACAGACAGAGAGAGAGAGAGAGAGAGAGAGAGAGAGAGAGAGAGAGAGAGAGTGAGAGAGAGAGATAGAGAGAGAAGTGCGCACATGGTCTTTTATATATTAGGATGGAATCTCGTAAAAAAAGAGAATTGCTCACTAAGTGAACGCCTAATAAAATGTGCACAATAGTGCGGGATATTATTAGTACTTTATAAATTTACTTGCGTTTTTTGAGAAATCGGAAATAGCGTAAATAAGTACTTCCGGTCAAACGGAAATTACTCAAAATTTGACAGAAGGTAGAGAATTAGATCTTTTACTTACATGTGAAATTTCATGTATCTATCTGAAATAGTACTCAAGTTATAAGCTTTTGAAAAATTTAAAGTAGAAAAAGGACCACTTCCGGTTATCGGAAATCACTCAAAAGTTAATATGGATCTACGATTTTGATAAAATACTTATATATGAAATTTCATCAACCCAGCTGTAACGGTACTCAAGTAATCGTGTTTACACACAGACACACACACACACACAGAAATACAGACATACGGACAAGATTGCAAAATTTTCCGTATCAGTGAGGTGTAAAACGTCGAGATTTGTAAAAATCTCGATTTTTTTTGCACGATTACAATCAGTGGCGTAGCCAGGATCGTCTCAAGGGGGGGGGGGTTTCCAATTTTTGCCCGGGGACAAACTTTCGATTTGCACCTTCCCCCCCTCAAACTTTCGATTTGCACCCCCCCTCAAACTTTCGATTTGCACCCCCCCCTCAATCTTTCGATTTGCACCCCCCCTCAAACTTTCGATTTGCACCCCCACCCCTCAAACTTTCGATTTGCACCCCCCCTCAAACTTTCGATTTGCAAACCCCCTCATACTTTTTATATATATATACCGAGGGGTCTATGGGGGGTTATGACCCCCCTAACCCCCCCCCCCCCCCCCTGCCTACACCACTGATTACAATACTTTCTCTATACTTCGTATATACGAGAAAGTAAAAAAATAACTTTAATAAATGTCTCCAAATTAAGGGTAATACTTAGAAATGGCTTCCCTGTTAGTATTCACACGGTCTATCATTCGACCACTGTAAGTTCGCAAGGTTAGTGTCAGTATACCTATTATAGCATCAGAGGTCAAACAAGACAATACAGAATCAGAGACAGGCAAAGTGCAACAGACGGAAACAGATAAGAACATGGAGCGACAAACTGGAAAAGACACAAACACAGACAGAGAACTCAAAGAACATGAAGGTTCTGGAACATTTCGTGGCCTACTGAGACACGTGGTGTCCTTGACCTTTATACTGCACGTGATGTGGGTGTCTTGTCTTCAGCTCCGATTTTTCTTCGTGCTGGGGTCAATCAACACCAGTTTACAGAAGATGGTCAGTTCACAGGCTGAAGGTAAGTGGTCAACACCAGTCTACAGAAGGTGAGTGGTCAACACCAGTCTACAGAAGATGGTCAGTTCACAGGCTGAAGGTGAGTGGTCAACACCAGTCTACAGAAGGTGAGTGGTCAACACCAGTCTACAGAAGGTGAGTGGTCAACACCAGTCTACAGAAGATGGTCAGTTCACAGGCTGAAGGTAAGTGGTCAACACCAGTCTACAGAAGGTGAGTGGTCAACACCAGTCTACAGAAGGTGAGTGGTCAACACCAGTCTACAGAAGATGGTCAGTTCACAGGCTGAAGGTGAGTGGTCAACACCAGTCTACAGAAGGTGAGTGGTCAACACCAGTCTACAGAAGATGGTCAGTTCACAGGCTGAAGGTGAGTGGTCAACACCAGTCTACAGAAGGTGAGTGGTCAACACCAGTCTACAGAAGGTGAGTGGTCAACACCAGTCTACAGAAGATGGTCAGTTCACAGTCTAAAGGTGAGTGGTCAACACCAGTCTACAGAAGGTGAGTGGTCAACACCAGTCTACAGAAGGTGAGTGGTCAACACCAGTCTACAGAAGGTGAGTGGTCAACACCAGTCTACAGAAGGTGAGTGGTCAACACCAGTCTACAGAAGGTGAGTGGTCAACACCAGTCTACAGAAGGTGAGTGGTCAACACCAGTCTACAGAATATGGTCACTACACAGTCTAAAGGTGAGTGGTCAACACCAGTCTACAGAAGATGGTCAGTACACAGTCTGAAGGTGAGTGGTCAACACCAGTCTACAGAAGATGGTCAGTACACAGTCTGAAGGTGCCATCTCCCTCCCCAGTCAGCCACTACACCAACGTGATGTTGTACACAATGATGACCGGCATCTTCGTCTCCCCCGTCGCTGGATTCTTCTACTCCTGGCAGACCAAAATCTTTGCCAGTAAGTTTTTTTGTGTTGGCCCACGTAAGACTTATTACGTTTTGGACCCGTTTACAATTGTGCAGTATAACCAGTTTAAAATTATCAAAACGAATTTAAAATAGTCTTCGTGTTTTGGTTTTATTTAAATAACTAGTTAAATGTTTTTGCCCAAACTTTTGATAAAAACTTAGCTGATTCATTGTGTACCATACTTGATACTCGTAATAAGACGTGACACAAACGACAGACATGCAGACATAAATGACAGTTGTAACGTGGCATAAACCAACCCCTGCACCCCCAGACAGCGTGTCCAGCGTACGACGCCAGGTGATGCCGTCAGTGCTCCCCCTAGCGGCGACCACCGTGTTCAGCGTCATCATGTCCAGTCTCCTGCTGGTCAATGACCCCCGGGTCTTGTACGCCTTCTTCGTCTTCCTGGTGCTACAGCGGTCATTTCTATTCACCATGTTCGCTGCTTACATCGCTGCCATGTAAGTTGGGAACTTTTTCAAACAAGCCAGTCCACGGCCATTGCCGATATGTAAATCATACAGTAATGTTGTCCATCATCTATCGATGTTGTCCATCATCCATCAATGTTGTCCATTATCTATCTGCCATCATCTTTCAATGTTGTCCATCATCCATCAATGTTGTCCATCATTTACCAATGTTGTCCATCACCCAACAATGTAGTCCATCATCCCTCAATGTTGTCCATCACCCAACAATGTTGTCCACCATCCACCAATGTTGTCCATCACCCAACAATGTAGTCCATCATCCATCAATGTTGTCCATCAATGTTGTCCAACAATGTTGTCCATCATCCAACAATGTAGTCCAGCAATGTAGTCCATCATCTACCATTGTGTCACCAGCTTCCCTAGCTGTTACCTGGGCAGTCTGCTTGGGATCGCCATCTTCACCGCTGGGGTCATCTCATTCTTCCAGTACGCCCTCTTCGCTTGGCTGGAGACTGGCGGACTTTTACAGGTACAGTAGAGTTCATCTTAATTATAATAATTCTAAATTCACTTACAATAAACATCTCCATTAGGAACGTATTAATATAACATATTAAGCCCTCCATTGTTATTTGAAGTGAGATATCGTGCTTATGGGGCGGGTAGATAAAAATAGTTTAAAATAACATGGTCTGCAATTAGGGTTAGGACTGATGCATCGTTTAGAAAACATGTGCGCAGCTATGCAATATATATATATATATATATATATATATATATATATATATATATATATATATATATATATGAAATGCAAATATGATAAATATAAAAAAAATAGAATTTTACAGAAAATTTATTTCGAGGGAATCAAAAACAACATTTTGTTGTTTTAATTTAATTATTTTATTATTTTAACTGAATATGTATTTTTATTATCAGACAATCGTTTCAACAAAACGTATAACATAATATAACATATTATAATAGCTACATTTAACGTAATAGCCCTATAATAATGTGTTAGTACTAGACTGGTTATATTTTTTGGTCTCAACACACATTTCTACTGAGTTCATCATATTATGTAGTTGCAAGATGCAATAATCAGAAAAAATAATAATATAATTGCGTGTTTAATGGTTTTCAATTGTTACCACCAAAGTTCACTTTCAAACCAGATGGTCTATGTGAATGTGAAGTAGAGCTTATTTATTTCTCTAACTATAAAAAAGACAATTAATGAGATCAAACTAAACTGACCATTCTTGACATTTGATATTATACCGACACATTAACCAGCCACATTATGTTGCAGGTGAACATCTTTCTGTTGGTGTTGGCGTGTGTCACATTAGTTCATCCCCTGTACCAGTGGTGGGCGTGTCGTAGAGCGGAGGTCAGACAGTTCGTGGATTCGAACCCGCAGATGACAGGACAGGAGTAGGTAGAGTGAACCAGGTGCCACACGGAGGCCTGGAGTCACACTAGGTCCTGGTCACTATAGAGACCATTAGTAAATCTCAGGATTGGATACAGTTCCCAAAACAGTCCACTTAAAATTGACAGCTTATCTGTAGAAGATGACCTGCTAGTGGCATGTTCACTTCCAGCTAGTTAGAACACATCACGGGGTTCTGTGGGTTGGTTAGTCGATGTCAATCGAGATCTTGAAATCCAAAAATAGTAGAAGATAAACCTCCATTTAAAAGACGAAAGGCAAACTTGTGACTTACACCCGAAGAAAGTTAACCTTTTGAATCTCTGTTGTTGACATAAGCAGCAGATGTAATGATGCTCAAGGGCAGGGGTCTCCAAACTTTTTAGTCCGAGGGCCGCATTGACTATCAAATTTCAGTTCGGGGGCCAGTTTCTTCCTGGCATGTCTTTGATTTTTCTGGGCAAAGTTCCTCAGCCATCACCTATCAACGTTTTTTCCGTGGACAAAAAGATCTCCGCGGGCCGGATGAGAGGACCTCGCGGGCCGCATCCGGCCCGCGGGCCGTAGTTTGGAGACCCCTGCTCAAGGGGACTGAAATTTCGATAGAAAGGAGCCTGGCGATTTATTACATGATGAAATACCACGGATAGACATTCAAAAGTTAAATATTTACATACAATAAAATTTATCATGGAAATACTGTTAACAGTTTCAAGTTTTTTTTTCTGAATTTGAGAATATATATAATGGTTTTAGCTGGATATTGTTTAAAATTTTGTTTGAATTAATTTGTTTATCACAGTTGTTACAGATACCATACTACATGGCCATCTAGTAATCCATAGCATGTTCAAGTTCAGCTTCTTTACATTTTCTTACAGTCGAAGCTAATTTGAGGAAAGAGATAAAACTCAATACTAGGACGACAAAGAGAAAATAAACCACACAACACAATATTTGGAAGTAAATCGTATGTTCAGGGAGAGCGCAAAAGAAGACAAAAGACAGTTTTTTAATGAGATGACATCTGAGTCAGAAACTGCAGCAGAGCAAAAAAGACATTAAGACAAACTACAAATTAATAATAACCCTCTCAGGCAAGAATATTAATCCCAACAAACCAGTGAAAGATAAAGAAGGAAAGAAGCTAACACGTGACAATGACCAGACAGGCATATGAGTCCAGCACTTTGAGGTGATTGAAATGTAAATCAACCTCTCTCATCAACCGGTCCCGATATACCACTTGTAAATATCATATTAAATGTGAGTACAAGACCCTTCCCTCCCCCCCCCCCCCACACAAAGTTAATTTTAGTAAGGGATATAAATAAATAATGTGTAAAATGGGAAAGCAGTCAGCCCGGACGGCATTCTAACAGAAGTACTCAAAGCAGACCTATCGACATTCGCAGATATATTACAACCTCTGCTAAAGCAGACAAGATGAGATAATCTCATCTGACTGGAAAATATGCTACCTGTAAAGTGCTAACAAGAATTATCATAGAGAGACATAGCGATGCCTTGGACAAAAAAAAACTTAGTCAAGAACAGGCTTGTTTTCTACAAGACAGGTCATGCACTAACCAAATTACTATTCTGCGCATCATTATTGAACAGTCCCTTGAATGGCAATCCCCCCATACTTGACTTTTGTATACTTCGAAAAAGCGTGTTATAGTGTGAATAGACCAATGAGCCAATATGGTATACCCCCCAAAATGTATATCTATCACGCAGAAGTTATATAAAGACTCTTCCTGTCAGGTAATCCACAAAGGAAAGCTTATAAACCCCTTCACAGCAACGACCGAAGTGAGACAGGGATGTATGCAATGATATACTAGATGGTAATATAATGTATCATTCAAAAAACTACAAAAATCGATACAGGAATCTAGTGGAATGTCACCCCCCTAATGTTGGGCTTTCGATTTTGCTGATGACGTCTGTCTATTATCTCACAAGCAACAACTTGCCCTAACTAATCTGAATCAATTCATTAAATAAGACTCTAAAGTTTGACTTAAAATCGATACAAAAATAGAGGTCATAAATAAATAAAGAGAGCTGCCCAAAACCGAGTCCGATGGAGAGGGGTGACTGGAGCCCTGTTCTCGTATGATGCCACGCAAGTCAACGCAAGACTTTCCCTTCTCAACATAAAAATCTGGCACTTATGATTCGCCCCTCCCTTAAGTAACTGCAGTCTACCACCTGCTGGTTCCTAGCACACATGTAACCAGACCAAGCGTGACTAGACGGAGAAGCCAGGAGGAAGGGAATGGGGAGATGAAGTTTGATATGACAACTTTCAGTAGATTCCTATTCAGCCAAAACACTACTGTGTCGTCGACTCCGAACTAGTTCAGTAAACACAAGCAGTGTCTCTTGTCACGTTACATATATTTATCTATATTTATCTATTTTTTAAATGCATAAAAACGTTTTAATAACAAGCTTTTATGTAATATTGCACTAAAAAGGAGAAATAAATTATTTTCTTTTAATGTATAATAACACACAACTATTTAAATATGCCATAAGATATTTTGTCTGAGATGTTTTGTCTGAGATCATTTGTCCATGATATCATTAGTCCGATAATATTTTGTCCTGAAATCATTTCTCGGTGAGATCATTGGTACTTGAGATCGTTGGTCCTGACATCTTTTGTCCTGAGTTCATTTGTCAATGATATATATACCAGGAGCCACACTGAGGACATATATATGAAAGTATGTTTGTGCAGGGGCGTAGCAAGGGGGGGGGGGGCGGGGGGTGCGGACCGCACCGGGTGACACCATTTAGGGGGGGGGTGACACCAAGCCCAAAAATAGCAAAATATATAGAGAAAAACTTGAGGGAGGTTGCAAATCGAAAGTTTGAGAGGGGGGGGGGGGTGTGCAAATCGAAAACTTGAGAGGGGGGGGTGTGCAAATCGAAAACTTGAAAGTTTGTCCCCGGGAAGGGTCGCTACGCCTCTGGGGGGTGACACCATTAAGTGCCGCACCGGGTGACACCCAAGAATACTCCTTGGTTGGTTTCTGCGATCATTTTTGTTTTCGGAGGGCCGGTGCCTCGTTAAAAGGGCGGGTTGCCCGGAGCTCCCCGGGCCTTCACGTGAGCAATATGGTTCCTACGTTCATTTTTAAGAATGCCAAACACTATGTAACACTAGGTAATACTAAACAGACTAAAGTCACAAGTGGAAAAGACTAACAGACAGGCTTTAGACAGCGATGAAGCACAAATAACCTAATTATTAAAATTATGTTACTTATGTTACTTTGCGAAAAATACCTACAACACCAGCACAATGTTTACCCCGTTGTTATAGATAAAAAGAAACATAATGGCATAATGGTCTGTGTGCTACCATGCCCAGATACAATATCAGCGTAAACCTCACAAAAATTTTCCAAACATTTGTATGAAAGAGTAACAAGCGCAGTAGTCTTTACAAGCTTTTATTTAACTTGCTTCTTCTGTCGTCAGTCTGTCTGTCTGTCTAGATCGAAACGGCCGAGCGAAATTGCAGGCACTTCTACCTGACATATTCGGTTAGTAATTGGTACGTGGGTCAAGACATGCATCGTGACATTAAATTTGACTTAATTGGTTGCCTGATTATTTTTGTGTGAATTAATTAAAATTTTGACCAAATTAGTATGCAGTTCTATCCACACGCGTCATCACGGCAAAAGCGCTTCATCACGCTCAATAGACGCGCAATGGTTTTTAGTCATGCAACTCTATTGTAATAAAACATGTACAGTACTAAAAACAAATCTCATTAAAAACTTTTTAATAACGAGCTTTTATGTAATAATGCACTAAAAAGAGAAAATAAATTATACACTACTATTAAAATAGCTATAAAGAAAAGCGTGGGTCTCGTCCTAAATATTAGTAAAGGTTTCCAATAGATACTAAAGTGACCCACGCTTTTCTTTATAGTTATTTAAGAATTAGTGTATAATTTATTTTCTACTTTTTAGTGCATTATTACATAAAAGCTTGTTATTAAAACGTTTTTTATGAAAAATTTGTAACAACACTAAATGCGTCCGTCAGACAAGCTGCTTAGTCAATGAAAAAATCAACCGCGGTGCCACAATGACCCATAGCATAAAGGGATGATTGATTGAATGATACAATGGAAAAGGTGAGACACTATTATCATTCACTAAATCGAATCAGACGCAGTCAAGTGACCCTGTGCGTTACGGGATCACCCCGTGAGCAATATGGCACTTACGTTCGTTTTAAAGAGCGCCGTACAATATGGATAAGGTAGTTTAATATAGTCGTTGACTAAATCGAATCAATCTTCTGACCGTGTTCGGGTAACCAGGTGCACCCACAAGCTCCACCGCGAGATCTATGGCGCATACATTTGTTTTAAAAAGCACCATACAATAGGGACACAGTGGACCACTACAATTGACGCAAACGGTGGCTCTCTAGAGTGCTTCCCGCGACGCCCCTAACACCTGGGCGGTCGCCGAGGTTTGTTCTGCTTCACAATTACTGAGGGTAATTAACGTACACACAAGGAGTTTATACATCACGCACAAGGACGTTAGACGATGCGTAGACAAACCCAACAACTAAAATCAAATATAGAGCCGGCGCCTCTTTTACACATACATAACTCAGTTTTAGAAAACAAAGTCACACATCTAAAAAAAACGGGAGTGATCTCCCTTAAACTTTCTGGAATATTCTTATATAACACTATGTGGGATGGCAACTCAGGATATAGACATGGTTTTTAATTACTTAAACTTTTTAAAATAGAATGAAATCTCGTAGAAAAAATAATTGCGTACCAAGCGAACGCCAAAACAAAATTATGCATAATAGTGCGGAATATTATTAGTACTTTATACATATTAATTATTATAGGCCTACATGCATTTTTTGAAAAATCGGAAATAGCGTAAATTACTACTTCCTGTCAACGGAAATTACTCAAATTAGATAGAAGGCAGATAATTACATCTTTTACTTACATGTGTAATGTCATTTCTCTATCTGATATAGAACTCAAGTTACAGACTTTAAAAATTCAAAGTAGAAAAAGTACCACTTTCGGTTATCTGAAATCGCTCAAAAGTTGATACGCTTCTACGATTTTGATATAATACTTATATATGAAATTTCATCAGACACACACACACACACATACGGACAAGATTACAAAATTATTTTTTTCCAACTAAGGGTAGTGTAAAACGTCGAGATTTGCAAAAATCTCGATTTTTTTTTTTTTTGCACGATAACAAGACTTTCTCTATACTCTGTATATACGAGAAAGTAAATATAACTTTGGAAACGCATTGATGACAAAAATGTTTCTCAGTGACACGCGACGAGTACGCTTGTATTTAATAATTAAATGATTTATGGGAAATTACTAATCTCATAATGTATTGCTTCTGTTTAAATTTATAAGGTAATTAAACTAAATACATTTTATTTGTTTCCCGTGACAATAATAGTTTATTGGAAACATGAAAAAAAATTAATTCTAAATGGATTTCTGCCTACTGATCAAACAAAATTAAGAAAGAAGCTGCTACTGCTAGATATTTGGGCTAGAGAATAATAGGCAAAGCGTGACTCTACACGGCTCAGTAGCTGGGTAATGTGAGGTAACTGGTGTGTGTTTCAGGTAACG